CAGATCCAAAATAGCTGACTCCCTCATTGCCTCTTCCACCTTTTGAATGATGAAATTGTCTTCGAGGCAAGTGAGGAATTTGCTAGACCTTGTATATGTTATCAGAAGGGAAAAGACTAGCCATGAGACCTGTGTGCTCAGTTTGCTGTTCAAGTGCTGATGGCAAATTCAAGGATGCTGCTCTTCTTATATCTTCTCATGAAGCTAGATAGACATGGACCTAACAGCCCTTCAGAGGACACCTTCAAACAGAGTGCTGTCCTCTAGCACTCTAGCTAGCCTTGATAAAAGGAGAGTTTCCTTTGCAAAACTGGATACTCATGACCATGCTAATCTGAGCCCAAATGAACTCCAGTACAACTTATACCTCAACTCCTCTACATCAAAATATATGAAATCTACAACAAAATCTACCGGTACTAAATTTCTAGGGTATCAGATGAAGTGGGCCAGAGCCTCCAATATCTTGTATGCTTCTTTGGCCTGAATACAGTGATGTCATTGCACTAATACAAGGTCTATTTCAATAGTGCCAATACACTTCAAGAGTCAGTATAAGTGAAAGATCCAGGACAGTTTTCCACTGTACAACTTATTGTGCAATCCAGTTGATATATGTATGCTATCTCTTGTGCTATGACTTGCCCAACAATCAATTCCAGTGGACTGCATCCAACTCTGGATTTGTATTCACACAAGAAGAGAATGTAATCCATCCTCCCTACTTCAACCTTCAGAACCCCTCCCTGTCAAAACCTTTGCTTTGGAGGACTGGAAAGCCCTCACTGGGGAGAATGTTTTGGGCATCCAGCAAGGATTATAAGTGAGAGAATCCAAACATACCAATGCCAGTTTAACATTGATTCTTTAACCATAGCAATTACACTAGAAAAGCTTTTCAAGCCATTAGCATCATGCTAGATCTTTAACTACTAATGTTTTAAAATTTAAAGTTTTAAAAAATTTCTAGCCTTAGTCCTATTTAATCCTTCCTTCTTCATTGTGGTTCCTAGAAACAAAATCTGCCCCAAATTATCTCTGGTTGACACCTTCCCATCTAACAAATAATAGAATCAGAAGTATTAGAAGGGGCCTCAAGGGCCATCTAGTTCAACACTCGGTCAGGTAGAAATACAGAACTGAAGTGCTCCCAAGATGTGGCCATCCAACCTCTGTTTAAAAATCTCCAAGGGAGGAGAGTCTACCACCCTCTGAGCAGTGACCAGATGTCATAACTGCAAAGGAAGACAAGGCACCACAAAATG